TACAATTGTTACGCTTGGCTGGCGGATTGACAACCGTAATACTAGTATCAAGACTGAAACTGCTTCCAGATGTCGAGTTAGGTCAGTCATACAAGTTAGGCATAGAAGCTAATCGAGCTGAGCGAAGGGGGCCCGATTATGTTCCGAAAGATAATACCGGGAATCCTTCTATAAGCTGGTGTGACCACCGTGGAGTTTTAGTCGATAGAATTCCGGCATAACCTTCCCGTTACCCCCGAACCGAAAGGTAGTCCACGTTAAAAAAGGATAACTAGATGGTTATTCATCTGGTGGAAGTTTTAAGAAGTTTCTCACGTTCCACATGTCCACGGCACACTACACTCATTTAAAACTATACGACATTAACGCTAGTTGAAGAGATCTACTCTCTTAAGCCGTGGTTGCACATTAATTATCAACATAATTCATAACGCAGTATCTAAGCGTTTCTTTGTGGCATAGCGGGGTTGGATGTTTGTCCATATGCAATTATGTACACATGTTAAACATCTCGATTATACAAGCGAAAATCTTAATGTTTGTCCAACGTTTTCCAATAAAGGATATCAATAGAACTGTCAGCAATTGATGATATTATAATTTCTGATTTAAAACCTAATTTAAAACCGCTATAAAATTCTGCTATAAAATGTTATGGTTTGAGAATCACTGCAACTATCTGAATCAAACTTTAAATTTTCTTTTGTTTAAGTACGCGATGACGTTCATATTACAGCGTTTCTTAAAGATATTGGGGTTTGAGGGGGAATATAAGAACCTTTTCTTCTTCTTAAAAAGTACCGATGGGTTTTTTGCTAGTTCTGGATGGAAAATTTATTCCGAAACAGTATTAAAATTATATGTGACTTTCAATAAGTATTACGTGTTACTTATATTGAATAAAATTATTGATTTCTATCAAGCTCAGTAGCACGTGGTACAATCTGCTGATCCGGCGAACGATGTTTTGACAAACGTCTGATGACAAAGAAACATGTTTGTGCGTACATACTTGCACAATAAATACCAAACATTTTCTATCGTCTTTTATTTCAGTTTGAAACCCTAAAACAAATACAAAGGCATATCTCATCCAAAAAATCCGAACCCAAATTCATACAGACTGGTGATGGAAGCACTACCAATTTGAATGTATCTTGGTTGTTTATGTGCTCAAAAACTTATCTGCCAAGCGAGGGTAGTATGGAGAACGATGTCAACAAGTATCACTGTTACAAATATCGATGAGGAAGAAAAATGGACATTATTAATAAATATATTTTAACTGCTTACATTTTGCGAGACGGAAACGCAAATTTTACGAGTGACGTATCATTGTATTTTATAATTTACTAGCTATCGGCCCCAGCTTCCCACGGGCTGTATATAAATATTAGACTTTGAATTAAATTTTTTAGTTAAATAACTGATAGTGATGTTAAGAAAAGCATTGTTGAGGTCAATTCTGATGCCGTTGGTACAGACTGCATTAGTCGTAAAATTATTATTCCTATTATCGATATCTCGACTCCTGTTATAAAATCCATCATTAATTGTTCCATTTCGTCCAGAAATTTTCCCTCTCCCTGGAAAGAAGCCCAGATTACTCCTATATCCAAAATAGCAAATCCCTCCAGTTTCTCTGATTACCGCCCCATATCCATAATTCCATTCAAAAGTTTTTGAGCGTATAGTTCATCGACAATTGAGCCTCTACTAATCTAGGCGGAATCTTTTCAATTTTTTCCAATCCGGTTTCCGTGCTGGTCATAGTACGACTACTGTCTTAGTCAAGATTACAGAGGATATTCGTCTAAGTATGGATAAATACGTGATAGAACCATGCTGCAGCTATATTGGTGTTATAGTTGTAGCACGAATGGGTCGGCTCGACCGGGGAAGGACCATGCTTTCAAAGAATACCAGCGTAAAATAGCAACTTAACACTGCTGTGTTTCGTATGGTGAGTGTAGAGAACCGGAGACTCTTTTTACTGGAAAAGATGCATTCCATCTTAGTCCTTACGGGTGACTAAGCATCTGCATTTTGATTCTTTATTGAGGATAGATGTAGATGTCTATAGGTCACAGCAACCACTTACCATCAGGTGGACTGTGTGCTCGTTTGTCACCCTATCCTATAAAAAAAAACAGCACGTAACAGTGTTGACCTTACTTGACTTAACAATGCATTTAACAATGTGGATTTCGATCTACTGTTACCTATCTCAGCTTCTCTTAACATATCTCCTGAAGTGATTGACTGGTTTCATAGTTAATTGTTTGGTCGCCGGCAACGGACACGTGTAGATGACTCGTTCTCCACCTGGTATACGATTAATGCCGGTGTACGGCAAGGTGGCGTGTTGTCTCCTCTCCTCTTTTCAATCTTTATTAGTTCGATCACGCTCCAATTATCTTCTCGCTACCACCTGTATGCAGATGATCTCCAAGTATATGTGCATGCCAAATTGATGGATTTACCCAATACTTACTAGGCTTATTAAACAAAGATCTTGACTTAATTGTGGATTAGAGTAAGTCATATGTTCTTAAAGTAAATCCATTAAAAACAAAAGCAATAATTATAGCCAGTCGAAAATTGGTTAATCTTATAGATTTTTCTGCCCTACCTGGAATTGTTTTTGATGGAACACCTGTGACATATAGTGACACCGTTAAAAATCTAGGTGTTACTTTTGTCAAATTTTTATCTTGAGCTACGCAGGTAAGCGAGGTGAGTCGGAGGGTGTTTGCGTCGGTCGGATCTTTTCGTAGATTAAGAAATTTTCTACCCATCCTACCAAAATTGCGCTTGCACAATCACTTCTTTTACTGATATTCGATTATGCTGTCACGTGTTATCTCAATTTAAATAAGGAGTTGCTTAATAAACTCGAGTGCATTCAGAACCTTTGCATACGGTTCAAATTTGGACTTCGAAAATATGACCATGTCTCCGAATATCGCGAAAATCTCAAGTGGCTTCCGATCCGTCTTCGCAGGAATACCACATTCTTTCTTTTTTGTATTGTATTCTATTCAATTCCACTTCCCTTACTTACCTTAAAGAGCGGTTTAAGTTTCTTGGTGACACTCACTGTCGCTCTCTTCGTTCTGATAAAAACCTCGCCCTAAAAATTCCATCCCATAACACTTTTTTCTATTCTAAATCCTTTTCTTTTGAAGCTTTTAGGCTCTGGAACTCCCTACCGCTGCACATTAGAAGTGCGCAGTCTATTGAAAAAACGGCTTGTCATAGCGCACTTCTTTCCTCCTTAAATGGTCATTCCTCTAAAAAATTACTACCTACTTTATTCATTTGTCCTTACTTTAACTTCCCATACTTGTTTAATCCTGTCTGCTCTAGTATATGTATGTATATATTTTTGTATTTAAAATGTATTTATATGGTATGTACGTATTTATCGATTATATAATTATATGTATGTCGTGTGTATTTTCCAACAACCTACGTACACCCTTACCATTTATCCTTTGCAATGGTTGCCTGGTAGAGATCGCTTCTAAGACCACCAATTGTACCTTCAAATAATTCATGTTTTTTTTTTCTCTCTCATATGTATTTCTGGTTTAAAATAAAGTATATTTAATTCATTCATACTATTTGCTGTATGGCGGCGTAGGAGAATCCATTCCGCCTATTCTTTGTGTCATTAGAGGCTTTTATGGTATAAGCCAAAGACGTATAAAATATCCAGAGCGGCAGCAGGAAGTATCTACTACTGCGATTGTCAATCCGCTTGAGAAACGTGTTGGTTATGGAATATCTGGACCAGCAGTTGACTTTTACGGGATGACACAGACTAAGCTAGAGAAATAAGAAGCAGATATTACAAAGATTTTTTTAATGTTTTAAAAGTATAAATTTACTTCACATAGTTAAACATTTTTACGTGGTAGAGCCATGCTGCGACTATATTATGGTTGTAGCACGAATGGGTCGACTCGACCGGGTTAGGACCATGCTCTGACAGAATACCAGCGTAAAATGCTGCTGTGTTTCGTATGGTGAGTGTAGAGGAAACGAAGACTGTTTGTCTGAAATTCAACACCCTAATCGGAGCTGAAAGAAGGTAAGGAAACAACTTAAAAAAACAAAAAAACTGCGGTTGCTAACCCGCCACTCAAACGTGGTAACTACAACAAATATTCCTCCTACGCAGCAATCTAAGCTTTATTATTTAAGTTTTAATGAAGGAATGATGAGATTTATAAAAGACAGAAACTCTATCTAGTTGACACACACACACACGCACACGTACACACACACGCACACTAACACACACACACACACACACACACACACACACACACACACACACACACATTACATAGTATATTTACACAGTTGTATTGAATGCCTCGTTGGTCTAGTGGTTGTAAACGCGATTGCTGTTCATGAGGTCCCGGGTTCGAATCCCGGGTCGGGCCAAAATCAGTTACAGGGTTATTCTGTCAAGAAATTTCCAGGTTCAAATTCAGTTAGGAAGTTGGCGGTGTTATTATTGTTATTAGTGCGTATTCTTACACCGCCACTATACGGTCAATTTTTACACAGCCCCAAGGCACGTAAAGCCGTTGATCCTGCGCCTGAACCCTCTCTGGTCGTATCGAATTACCGCCCCATCGGACTATGAGAGTGAGGGAATAGAGAGTGCACCTGTGCTTGCGCATACGAGTACACTTGGGCACTATAATCCTGTCCTGCGCAGATACATCGTAGTTAATCTCCGTTGAGACTGGCCGCTGTGCACGAAATTCGGTCTGGAGGACATTATTATTACCTACACTGTGTAATGCTGTGCTTTATAAAGGTATTGCTTTTATGTTTGGACTTTTGTAAAGAAGGAAAACGACTACAATATGAGTAAAAGGGAATTAAATAAAACAAAAAAGAACTTATACTATAAAACTATACTTAAATAACAGAGTTAAATGTAAAAGTTGGTGCTAGCGGCGCGACAGGTGGCGCTGAGATCACTGTTGCGGCTGCGGTGGCACCATGCGCGCCGCCAGCAAGAGGATGTCCCTCTTCTCTTTCGGGAAGCGCAGTTCCCTGGCGGCTAGGCGTGCTGCACGGAGTTCTCTTTCAGCTCTGAATGTAAAAGTCACATATCAGTAAGGAATCATTATTTTATCATCATTACAGCCCTTTACAAGTCCACTGCTGAATATAGGCCTCCCCCAAGGAATGTCAAAAAGCACGGTCCTGAGCCACCTGCGCCCATCGACTTCCTGCATGTCTTGCCAGGTCGTCACTCTACCTAGTGCTGGTGCCTACCGGTACGAGGCTACCACTCTAGAACCTTTTTTCCCCAACGGTTGTCGGTTCTTCGAGCTATATATCGGTCTGTAGTTCGTTAAAAGAGCGTTGTCACCTTTCTTGAAGAACAAGACCACCGCACTTCCGCTCCACGCCTCCGGAGTAGTGCTACCATGGAGGACGGAATTAAAGGGCTTCTGTAGGACTTCAAGTACCGGTTTTCCACCCGCTTTCAGAAGCTCCGTAGTAAGGAATACCAATTAAATATTCTAAATCCTTGCAAACAACCGTCGTTCTAGCCATAGCTGTTTAAATAACTCATTTTTCTTCGTTCACGTCGTCACTGTTTCGACTTGGGGGGGGGGGGGGGGACGGGATTCTCCGGTGGCGCCTACTACTACTAGATAACCTTTCCCATTATTTACCAGCCATTTTCTATGAGGCCATATTTTGTACACATAGTTAAATCGCAGGCCAACAAAAAAAAACTGTAGACTATCTGTTTTTGTCTCTGCTTACATTTCAACCGACGTCGAAATCAATACGAAACTATGCTCATCTCATTCTAAGAATGCGCACTTAGCTACACACATGCACCTTAAATCATTTGCAACCAACATGATGTTTATAGGTCCAACAGTGGCCTTCTACGGGATTTTATAGAAAGAAAGAAGAAAAATGTGTTCGTGAGTGCGTGTCAAGAAATTGAGTGTAGTTTAATAAACAAATAAATGCAATTATTTATTTCGGACAACTTGGATCCTTAGTAATCTATACATACCTACAAATAAAATTGAAGTGCCTGTCTGGTATATTGAAATAACTGGCTTCTAATAAGCTCATGGGCCTATGTGCTATGTTATTAGGAAATAAATAACTATTTCTGAAATTTTTGTATGTCTGTCTGTCCGTCCAGGATAATCTTCGGAATGACTGAACCGAAACTTTTGAGCAGATATAGAGCATTGCCAGGAGGCATTCCATCTTAGTTCTCACGGGTGACAACGCATCTACATTTTGATTCTTTATTGAGGATAGATGTAGATGTCTATGGGCCACAACAACCACTTACCATCAGGTGCACCGTGTGCTCGTTTGTCACCCTATCTTATCAAAAAAAGAAATCTAGGCTATATAGGCAAAACTTAAAGATTAAAAAAAGAGAGAAATTGATAAAATAAATGGTCTTTGACTAGCTTAAATATAAATAACGCTATATTAATAGATCAAATCCAGGCAAAGTGAGGCCGGTCACTCGATTTATACAACGATTTTTGCGGCGTGTAACTGTCCGGATTCGGTATTTCATGAGATGTACGCAGCGCTTCGTCTATCTTTCCTTGCAATACGTATTTATTCAATTACCTGGCGAGCTCTCCACGCAGAACTCCACCAGTACCCGCTGCAATGGAGTCTCGTTCCTTGTTCGCCCACTCGAGCGCCATCTGCTCTCGCATCGCATCATCCAGAGCCCGCGCCGAGTAATGGGCGACCACCTCTTGTCTCGAGCACTGCCGCTCCCGCATGGCCCGCAACGACCCGTTCCAGTGCAGCAGCTGGAAAACGGTCATCAGCTCTTGGAATTCCAACATCGTACGTCCCTTGTTCGCTTCCAGCATGAACCTGTGAACAAAGTATATAGACGTGTTCTCTAAAGTTTGAGTTTTAATACTGTATGTTTTATCAAATTTTCATATTCTTTATTTAAACTATATTTCGACTTAATCATTATTCTTGAAAACAGCAACAGTCCAAGTGCTAGTTGTAAGCAGATCATCGTTAAAAAAAATATAACATATATCCTAGATGATTTTTAAGAAAGCAAACGAGCATCAAGATCTACAACATAAGAAGAATCACCGATGCGTCGCGTCGCCGCGCCGGCTCCTCAGAAAGAAGTCGCCTCTTTCCTTGAAGCTCCCTAAGTCTTAGTACGACAATCACTGGCATATAATAGTTAACAAAAACTATTAAACAGTAATGTAGAACGAAATTACTTAAATACTGTCTCCATTTTTAATTGTTTCAACTCAACAATGTAAACATTTCCATTTCATTAATCCATTGCACTTATATAAGTCCACAGCTGAACATAGGCCTCTCCCATAAATTGCCTTATTGGTGGCATTTCACACATTTCACATTGCCACGCTTGGCAAGTGGGTTGGCAACCGCAAATTTAATTATTATGAGTTGTTATCTCTCTTGTTTCAGTTTCCCTCAGTCGCAACAACTCTCAGTAACTGGATATTCTCACACCACGACTACACGGTTTGCGTACTAATCTCAACTCACCTAAACGCTGCAATGCCTGCATTTGTGTCTTGATTATGGGAGGTGTTGTCGCCTGCGAAGGAGGCGCGCGCTTCTGCGACCGCCTTCTCTATGAAGTGGTCGGAGATCAGGCGTGATTCATGATCATTGAACACACTGTTCATGAGCGCAATCTTGGCTGCGCTTCTTCTCGCTTCCGCCTTCGTAGGACAATTCTATAAAGAAAGTATTCTTAGTAAAATGTTATCTTATATTAGGGTGTTACCACACCAATCGACCGATAGTGGTATGGATTAGTCGAGGTCCATCGATAGCTTATACCTCACCGATCGATCGATGGTAAAATGGATTAGTCAACGTCGATCGAGCTGCTCGATTATTAGAGCTCCCCGCTTCTCCGATAATGAGCCCACAACTACATCGATTAATTGTCGATCGATGATCGAACAACGTTTTATCGACCAGTATCCGTCGATCAGCTAAAACTACCACACCAATCGATCGAAATCGATCAACGTCGATCGAAAATCGATCGATTGGTGTGGTAACACCCTTAGTTGAAGGTGCATATTATATTGAAATTGTGAAATTTATTTATGCTGCAGAAAGTTTTTCCCCACAATGGGGGAGGCCTAAGTCCAAGTGTGGATATTTTTAAGGTTATAAAAAACTTTAATCAATGTCATCATCATTACGGCCCTTTATTCAACTGTTGAACATAGGTTTCCCCGATGAAATGCCACAAAACACGGCCCTGAGCCACCTGCATTCATTTCCTGCATGCTTTACCAGGTCGTCACTATGGGGAGCCGTTCTTCACTTTGTTTACCTATACGAAGTTGCCACTCGACAACCATTTGTCACAAAAAAAAAAACTAAATATCCCTAAATTAAATGTGACGTAGTTTTCCCTCCCAAAATTACCTGAAAGCTTCCGAAGCAGGCTCCACCAGGCAGTGTGACATAGCACACGTAGGGCGGATGCGCCGCTGGCACGGACTCGTAGATGACCAGGGCTCCGCCGCCGCCGGCCGCACCCCCACCACGTGACGCCTTCGCCTGCCAGAACTCCTGGAGGGCTTCCACCACGTTCACCGTCGATATCACGCCGTCTGTTGTATTTATATTCGTTAAACGTAATTTAAAAATGTTCGCCGAGTAATGAAATCATAACCGGACTCCTTACACTACATTGAAGTACTAACGTCTCAGAACAGCTATTTGCAACAAAAAATATGCGCAACAAAACATAGATTAAGTTGACGTGCATGCGCGGGGCATAGTCGTACCTAGTACATACTACTTCAATGTTACACTCTAATTTAATTTTGATTAATTGCAATTTAAAGAGTTAAGGAAAAACAAAAAAAAATGTAATCATGTCGTCGCTTCGGTTGGATTTATATTCATTAAACTTAATGCCAAATTTTCACCGTGTAATGAAATAAAATTTTAAATATACTAGCATATACTCTAATTTAATTTTGATTAATTGCAATTTAAGGCGTTATAGAACAGCAAAAAATAAACGTAAAATAAAAGCAGTTTAACTGTAATTAGGTTATATTTAGACTATACAATAATAATTCCTTAAAGTTACTTCATTAAAATATTTAACCCCACTTAATTTCAGCAAATCTGAAAATACTACGTATCTATACGTTTTTTTTTTTATACAAATCTTCACTGGCTTGTCGTTGAAAAGGACATTTAATAAGTTTTCTACAAATGCATATCTATATCGACGTTCCTATGAGCTAAATAAATGCATAAAAAATTAAATTTAAAAAACATTAAGTGCTAGTCTACTGAAAGCTTCTAAGTCTCGAGATTAACTCAAAATATGCTGAGAGCGCTTCCTTCCATCAGAAAGCTCGGAAGTAATCTCGTCTGGTGCGAGGGATAAAAATAACCTACTTTCTCTAATTTATAGCTAAATGGGTATTTTTACAAAGTAAAAGTGTGTATATGTACGAGGGTGGATTGAAAAGTACTCGGCCTAACCAAGAAAATAAACAAATACTAAATCAGTTATATTTTTATTTTTCTACATAATCACCATCAAGTTCAATACACTTTTGCCACCTCCCCTTCCAAGCATTTAGACCGTTGAAAAAAAATGATTCTTCCTTAGAGTCAAAATATGCGTCTACAGCTGCTTTGACCTCGTCGTTTGTCGAAAATCTTTGACCTCCCAAGTGCTTTTTTAGGTTAGGGAACAGAAAGAAGTCTGATGGTGCCAGATCAGGTGAATACGGCGGATGCGGTAACAGTTCAAAGCCACAGTTGTGAATTTCAGCCATTGACTGTACTGACGTGTGAACACGGGCGTTATCTTGATGAAACAGGACTTTTCTTCTGAGCATTCCTCGACGTTTTTCTTTTATTTCCTCTCGTAAACGACGTAGTAAGGTGCAGTAGTAATCAGAGTTTATATTCTGACCCCTTTCAAGATAATCAATCATAATCACACCTTTCGAGTCCCAGAATACTGAAGCCATCACCTTATTTGCCGACAAAATCGACTTAGCCTTTTAGGGGGTGGTGAACCAGGTCTTCTCCACTGTTTTGATTGTTGTTTTGATTCCGGTGTACAGTAATGAACCCATGTTTCGTCCATAGTAACAAAACGATTCAAAAAATCATCTGCATCGGCTTCAAATAACTCCAAACAGTCGTGTAAAATAGTCAATCGCGTCCTTTTTTGTTCAACTGAAAGCAGTCGCGGAACCCACCTCGCAGACACCTTGTGGAAACCCAACTCGTTGACAATGATGTTTTGAGTTCGTTCATAAGAGATGCCTATAATCTCGGCTATCTCTCTAATTTTTAGTCTGCGGTCTCCCATTATTAAATCAAGTACTTTTTTAATATTTTCGTCAGTAGTTGACGTCGAAGGCCTTCCGGAGCGGGGTTCATCTTTCACACTCTCTCTACCACGCTTAAATTCTGCTATCCATTTTTTGACGGATGAATATGACAGAGCACAATCGCCTAATGTACTGACCATGTCATCATGGATGGCTTTTGATGATAGCCCCTTCTTATGGAGGTCCTTAATGACGGCACGCTGCTCGATTTGCTCCATTCGCGGAAATTATGTCCGATTACTTTGTTAATAAATTTATAAAATCACAACTAATTATCGCACACGTTTCGAACTTCACACAATGAACTAGTCTGAACTGAACTAAATAATGTGGGTAGATTTGATTTTTAGAATTGAATGGATCTGTGTTAGGCCGAGTACTTTTCAATCCACCCTCGTATTAATACATTTTATCTATCTTTACAATATAAATTTAATCTGTTTTTCATAGAGGAGGTTTACAATTCGTCGCAATCTTTGTTTTTTTATGTATGTTCACCAATTACTCGAAGACGCCTGACCGATTTGGAAAATTCTTTTTTTTCTACCGTCTTCAAAAAGGAGACGGTACTCAATACGACTGTATGTTTTCTTTCTTTTTTTATGTGTGTTACCTCATAACTTTTTCCGGGTGAACCAATTTCGATGATTCTTTTTTATTTGAAAGCTGGTACTTCTCATGTGGTCCCGTATAAATTTGATGAAGGTAATCAATAATTTTTTTTATTTTATTCTTAACAATTTATATTGAAGCCGTACAAAATTTGTAATTTGACCAGTTGTGAAATATATCTACAAGCACACCTGTTTCGTTCTGTTTTATGCGATGTTAGTGCTATTAGATATTTTTTTTTACAGTTTCATCGGACATAATCTGGATCATTAAATTGGAAGTCTTCAATTTAGTAGCAGTATTTCTAATTAATTCGCTGAGCTAAGTCTGTTAGTCTTGTACTCTGCGAATAAATAAATTCCAATTTAATGTACCATCCAGAATACCAAGATATTCGTGCAGTTTTTTTAAGAACAAATTTTGTAGGCCAAACTTGACCAGACTCCCCAGTGATCCGTATATTTCGTCTGTAAAACAAGCTCACCAAAATATACCCGACCATGACATTTACTATAATATCCTCACTCAATTTATGACCAAACTTAAGCACGTTGACGCACGTTAAACTGCGGTTGTACAAATCAGCTTTTAATTATCTTTTAATTTTTTAGTTAACATAATTTTATTAAATTTGTTTAACTTTGTAACACAACGCATGCTGTGATTGCCTATAATTATAAGAGCAGTTCATCGTCGCAGATCATGTAAATTTTATATTACTGTTATATAACCAAACATTTATTGCTGTTTCTTATGTTGGCAATCCAAATAAACTACAAAAAATATCCTCTTTACGGATTTTATCTTGAATAGAAATTGCAAGCATAAGCATAGTTTAAATAAATTTGAAATTTCTCATACACCCAGCAGTGAAGGACCAAGTTTTGATTCCGTAGGTCATCACTGGTTCATTGGTTCAGTAGGTTAAAGTGGCGACGGGCTGGCCATATAGTTAGAAGAACAAACAACCGATGAGGAAGGAAAGTTCTCGGGTACCGGTAGACGCAGTGGCGACAGTAGCTGGAGTAAAGACCTGGTGAAACATACGGGTGGCTGAAGGATGTATGTGGCTTTGGAATAGAATAGAATATTTTTTATTCGATATACATTACATGTGTAATTCTTATTGAAAGTCATTTTTTATTTTACCACTGGTTCGAAAAAAAACCCTCTGTCCTGGGAAGAACCAGCAAGAAACCCAGCGGGACTTTTTTTTAAATAAATTTTACAATATAAATGATTACGAACTATTTACAAAATTTATTTTAGAAACTGCTTGGAAGCGACCAGCTCATTCCCAGGGGTTATTATCAATACTATAATAACCCTTTTTATACAGTTTCAGCTTAATAAAATATTTAGGACCGTACTTAATGGCAATCTATGGGGCCTATATGCTACAGAAGAATCGTGATGGTCTGAAATGATGTTAATCATGATCAGTAAGGTGCAGCAGGTGGATAGGTAACAACAGATTCCAAAAATTAGTTTCAGTATTATTCGAGAAGAATGTTGTCCCATATTTTGGAAATATTAATAATTTCTGTAAAATAATTTTTAAATTTTAACCGTGTAGTGGTGGCATAACAATAATCCTACTCTATACCGTCCCGTAGCTGTTGTAAGAGACAAACCAGGTAAGAAACAAACCAGGAGTTTTTCTAAAGACAACTAAAAAAATTAAAAATAAAAAGCTGTGGCAAATATCCCCCTTAGGAGGCAATCTATGGGGGAGGCCTATATGCAGCAGTAAACTTTGATAGGCTGTAGTGGTAAATTTTTTTAAGAAGAAGAAAGAAATCTGTTAGTTTTGCCGTCGCAAGCGTACTTTCAATATTCCTACTCATATGACACTGTTAATATCACATTTATACGTGGTAGAGCCATGCTGCAGCTATATTAGTAGTATAGTTATAGCACGAATGGGTCGGCTCGATCGGGGAAGGACCACGCTCTCATAGAATACCAGCGTAAAATAGCAGCTTAATACTGCTGTGTTTCGTATGGTGAGTGTAGAGAACCGGAGACCTTTTTTTATTGGAAAAGGGGCATTCTAGCTTAGTCGTCACGGGTGACAATGCATCTGCATTTTGATTCATAAACGAGGATAGTATATGTCTATAAGGCACAGCAACCACTTACTATCAGGTGGACTGTGTACTCGTTTGTCACCCTATCCTATAAAAAAAACAATAGCACTAGTTAAAGAAACACGCGCTAGTAACGCATTATTACAACTCTATGCTCTACAACTGCAGTCGTGGAAGTTGAAAAGAAGCCTGAAATAAATGTATTAAAAACTTCTGGACTATTTTTTTAATTCGTAACGCGTTCGTGGTTTTTATTTCGATGTTAAAGAAAATATTAGCCGATTTGTTCTCCCCTCGTTCTCAATCCACTTTAAGTTATAAACTGTCAGAGTTTTCCAGAGTTTCACCGAAATTTTCGTTTAAGTATTATATATGTAACGTGTGTACGATGTGCACCTTTAATTTCCCCATTTGAAAAGAATTCCCAGAATGGGAAAATATGAGGTAAAAGTCATAACAACGAAAGTACTGGGAAATCGTATTATAAATAATGCTTAGTAAGAAAAATAAAGGATTGTAAATCGGAAATAAAACATTCTT